AACCCTTCAAAGTAAAACAGGAAACATAATGGAACGTAGACATGACAACACGGACTTGACAACGTGTGCACACAGACATGAGACACATGACAGACTGGGGAGAGACAGAACGCAAGGACACGTGGGAACAGATAGGGGAGAGAAAGCACGGGCATAACTACAACACAAAATAACACAAAATTGCTGGGTGACAGACCATCAGCGACTGATGTGGAGGAAATCATTCCTCAGCCGGTTCAGAGGAGTGTTACAAAATACAAATACATATAATGAAGGTGACATTAAGTCGACTGGGATTATTTCCCACTTGGCCTGTGTTTTCTATATTTCAAATCCATTCATATTTGTTTATGAAGACCCTGCTGTAGCATAATACATTTATCCAAGACTCACTAATTATGGACTTTTTACATTTTTCATTTCAGGCTTTTGGGCCCAAGGTGGTACTATGGGCCCAGGTGGTCTTATGGCCCCAGGTGGACCTATGGGCCCAGGTGGACCTATGGGCCCAGGTGGACCTATGGGCCCATTCCCACTGACCTTCATGTCCACAGCGAGGGTGATCACCTGTGACAGCCTTGACAATGTGCAACGCCTGAGCTGTGGTAACATAAAAATGTTTTTCATAGCTCCTCACTCTCACTCAAAAGTGAACCCAGTTCTGATGTGATGTGCATTATTTCTAATGTCCTGCAGGGGGCGACTCCTCAGGTTGTAAATAGAAGTCTGCCTCTGTGTTTATGAGAAACTGAGCTCAGTCTTACCCGAGGAGCAAAAAAACCTGTTAAGGTTTAGGTTCTGTTTGTGCTTTATTCAGTGAAACTACAGTTTATGCTTGTGACTGATGTGACCTTTCAGACTTCTTGTAACACCACAGAACTACAGGAGGACATTTTCTGATTATTGAAAACATAAAAAGCCTCTATTTGTTTCTCCTGTGCTGCACACCTCATGCATTCCTTGTGATTCCCTCCGTTTGAACGTCATCGTTCTCTGTATAACAGATAATGGAGTGATCATCGTGCAGGCAGCTACGTACGGGCGGACAGATGCAGAAATCTGCAGTGATGGCATTCCTGCAGATCAGCTTGCAAATACACAGTGTTTCCACATAGACACTCTGAAAGACGTCAAGAGCAGGTAAACAAATCTGAGGAATCATTAATCGATCACTTTAACTCACCTGAAAAGACGAGAGCTCCTCTTTGTCTCCCTGCAGGTGTGATGGCAAGAAGGTGTGTGAAATAAGTACAAACTCCTTCCGTACTTCTGATCCGTGCTCCGGCATTTACAAATACTTGGACACCACCTACACCTGCTTCCCAGCAAGTACATTACAGCTGTGATTAGAAACGAATATTCAGTGTATTCAGATTTGTGAATGTGTGTGTTTCTAATGCGCTTTATTTCTCTGTCAGTCCACAGTGTAACTTGTGACGATTCGCTGGCAAACCTCCAGTGCGGTGAGAGCACAGTTTCTCCTTCTTTGTGAGTCTTTGGATTCATGCGGTAAAAATACAAATGAGGTTAACGTTTGCTCTTCTTCAGGTGAAGGACAGGTTTTACTCATCCACGGAGCTGATTATGGGCGCCGTGACTCAACCACATGCTCTTTGAATCTTCCAGCCTCTCAGCTCCAAAATGTCCAATGCTCAAAGCCCATAAGCAACTTAGCTGACAGGTAAAGATGCAGACTCTCTTCCTTCAGCCTTTTATCTTCTCACACAACATATTTCAACTCACCTTCACCTGAATCTGCAGCTGTAACGGGAAAAGCAACTGTACTGTCAAAGTGAGCAGCTCTGTGTTTGGAGACCCGTGTTTTGGCACCTACAAGTACCTGGAGATGGCTTATAGCTGTCACTGTAAGTGCCTCAGACTTCTCTTTAATGAGAGCATTTATAACAACAAAAAGTTTAGCTCATTTAACAGTTAGAGAGAAATGTGAATCTGCCCTTACACACTGTGCTTTTAGGTGGTTCAGCACTGATCCTGTTTCCTAAAACGTTGGGGTTCAGTAATGAAACTCTCTGACATAAATTTTCTTTCAGTTGGTTTTCCAGATCACTGAATGGAGGAAATCGCTGACATCCAAATAGCATCTATAGCGTCTATGTTCTTTGAAGAAAATGTGTGATGAATCAATTATGAATCAAAAAGAAAAAGATCATTCAACATCCTGATCATTCAACATCTTCTTTCCAGACCTGTTAAGTTGTGGTCTGCGGTGTCCATATACACTTGGCCTTTAAGACGTTTCAGAAAATAAATGATTCTAAATGTAAAACTGATTTAACACTGATTGTCTTAAAGGTTTCCTCCTTTTTCCCCTTGTATTCTTACGCCTGCTTCACTCTTAAATTTGCCTCCAATATTATAATAATGAAACGTATCAACTGGATGGTGTGAGTTAAATGTGACAGGGATCTGACTAATTTCTGACGTGACTCTGTTGAAACGGTCGGATGTGAAGAGGAGCTTTTTATCATTAAGGACACCAAGGTCATGGACTCTGTGGTACTAACAGTACTCATAGTTTGATAGTACAAATAATAATAATAATAATAATAATAATAATAATGGATTGCATTTACACAGCACTTTTCGGGGCCGTCAATGTACAATTGTATGCGCTGTACAATTCCACTATTCATTCACTCGCACATTCACACACTGGTGGAAGCTGCAGTTGTAGCCACAGCTGCCAAAACACACATTGCATGAAATTTGAAGTTCTGTTCAGTTCAGTTGTATTTATACAGCAGCAAACACAACAATCGCCTCAAGGCGCTTTGTGAGGGAAAGACCCCACAACACATTAAAACAGGATAGTAGGACTTCGCACAGACTTATGAAGTAAGATTAAGATAAGACTGTATTGATCCTACGGCGGGGAAATTTGTGCGTTACCTCAGCTCAGGAACAGATAGCAGAAGAAAAATACAAACAAATACCAAATAAGTAATAGACTTTATACAATAGTAGCATACATGTGACTATGATAGAGGGTTTTGGAAATATGCAAGACGTAAATGTAACTATTCTACCATTACTATTACTATGTGAGTAACAAATATCTGTAAGTATCTATAAGTATGGACATATACACACACATTACACACTAAATATACATTTGTATACATATACACACACATGTACCTGCACACGTCCGTACATATAAAAAGTGCATTATGCATGAAGTGTGACTGTGGACGTCCACAATGTCCAGTAGTGTATTTACAGCATATGCACTCCAGATTTATGCAACATTATAGT